TCACTCTCGATAAATTGTCGATTTATGGATCAGCTGTCAGGAACGATCCAAAAAGGGGTTCAAATAATGATTTAAAAAAATTTTTAGGATAAATATGTATTTCAATTTTTTTTAATCGCTTATTGGGATTCTACTCATTTTTTCCTATCTATCTTCCATTAAAATTAATGATATGACTTAATGACCATGTAGAGTTGTATAGAGCCCTTATAATTAAAATGTAAATAAACATGTCAAACACAATTCAGGATATACCACAAACATTTTGATGAAAAAAAGTGTTTAGTTACTGTTCGTCGATCATGAATATCATAACAGTCAGCTCGCTTCATAAGCCGAGAAACAAGGCAAAGATTAAATTTACTTTATACTTTGTGCATTATACAGCGTTGGTTCACTTGTTTAACGCATATTGTTGTGAATTTTTTCACCCTTGTGGTTTTAATCCGATAAAAATGAATTGGGGAATAATACTAGGTTTTATTATTTGTTCATACTGCGAACTTGTTTGTGTTGTTGACGAGTTGGGATTATTTTTTTAATCATATTATATCAAAGCTGAGAAACCAAAGACTCTTTTGTTTTTATTTTAAATAGCTTCACTTGTAATGTAAAAGATACCATTACAATTACGAATAATAGAAAGTTTAACAAAAATAACCTTATAGAGAAAATTTTGACAGAAGATATAATTATGCTTATCACCAGTGTCAATGAACATTGTTATTTATAAATACAAAATAGAAACACTTATAAAGCACTAACAATAAGATAAACTTTTAATTGGAAAAGTGTCCTAGTAATTCTGCAAACGACAATTGTTGCAGTTACATAATTACAAAAGTGTTAGCGAAAACATTGTTTTGATTTACTATATTATTAAATAATGCAATTTAATTTGAAAACTTCTAATTTATATGTCCATCTGCACATTCTGGAGTATTCAAATCGCGCAAACTAAAAAAGTATTTTTTGTTTACTGTAAATAAAATAATGTGAAAAGTTTTATCATTTTCGTTACTTTGGCCTGGAAAATTGACCTAACCCTGTTACACACAACAGTGATATTCTACATCGAAAGTTCAAAAGTTAACCGATCATTCCTTGTTTTAACAAAATTGTTATACGAACTCTTGGAAAACTAATTATTAGTTCGTTTATTAGGTAAACATATACAGGCTGTCTACTATAAGAGGGCCACTCCTATGTATCTCGCTTAATACATGTTTTTTGTTGCATTTTTTGAGGCTTTGGTGCTCCTAAAAACAAATTTGAGATCCATGGCCAACTTTATGACAAATCATAAAAAAACCGAAAAAGTAACGAAAGTTTAGGGCCGTCTAACTTTTTTATTTTGAGAGATAGAGCAAACTTATTGTAATAAAATGTCATGGCAAAATTGATATCTTTTACTTAGTGTAAACAAATTTTTGAGGTATCTTATGTAATTTGCTGCGCCCTCTACACACACAAAAAAAATTGTCATCGAAGCAGGCTGTACAAAAAATTGCTTGTTTTTTCCTCTTTCATGCGATGTACTACATGTTGCCTTTATTTTTTATATTTATTACATTTTTATAATTTTGGTATCAAAAATGTAGATTAATGTATAGAAATTGTTTTAAACAGGTCAACTACAAAAAATTTTATGAATATGTACATTATATTCATAAAATTTTAATGAAAATTCTTCTGCATATAAAAGGATTTTCCCTCTTTCTTTCTTGTCACCATCTACAACACCTAAATCTCCGGTGTTTATCTTCCTCCCTCAAGCTCAAGAGGTGCACTTTTTTCACCTTATAACATTTAAAACAATTTTTTCGTAATATCCTTCTTGCACTATCCTGCTGTAAATTGTAATTCACTTCAAACTGTCATTTTTCCTATTTACATAATTTAAAATTCTGTTGACAGCTGATTTTATTAGCGAAAGTTTTCTACATGCGCAAGTGCTTGAATAGAATTGAAATTGCATTGATAATACAATACAAACATATTACACTTCTCAATGAAAATATCATTATTATTCAAAATTTTAGTTTTTCAAATCACAGTTAACTGTAACAATTTCCAAATCAACAGTTATGTATAAACTATAACAATAAATGATTTGTTAAATAATGACATTACTGGGATATCACATCTATTTTCATAGCGTGCTACATTTAGCGTAAGCTAGTTTGTTTACGCAAGAACAATATTGAAGGCTCAGTTTTCTCTAAAGTAAAAAACATATATTATAATAATGTGTGTATTTTACTTAAAAGAAATGAATTAATTATATTTATTAAAATTGTTATCGTTGACACGTGTCTACAACAATTTCTACGTTAACACGAAAATGTTTACATTTTTTGTACCAATATTATAAAATATGTAATAACTTAAAAGATACAAGCAACATGTAGTATATCGAATGAAAGAGGAAAAAACAAGCAATTTTTTGTAGCCACAGCCTGCTTCGATGACAATTTTTTTTGCCTGCGTAGAGGGGGGGAATATTTTAAAAATCTGTTTGCACTAGGTGAATGATATGAATTTTGCCATGAAATTTTGTTAAAATAAGTTTTCGCTATCTCTTAAAATAAAAAAGTTAGAGGGCCCTAAACTTTCGGTACTTTTCCGGTTTTTTTATGATTTCTCATAAAGTTGGCCATGGATCTCAAATTTGTTTTTACGTGCATAAAGGCCTCAAAAAATGCAACAAAAAACATATAAAGATTTTTGACGTGCGTCGTATATTAAGCGAGATTCATAGTAGACAGCCTGTGTATAAAAGAATAACTAACGATGCGTGATAAAAATATATCGAAGGCATTCCCTTACTATAATTCTTTCCTTTTATTATTTGTCTTAGTTGTTTTTTTTTAATAATCGGTAATAAAAGTTAATGGAGGTAAACATTTAAAGTTTTCTGTTAAATTTGTCGTTGATTACAAGCAATTTATCCACATTAAAAAAATAGAACAAAGAACAACATTTTCCTACAACTGTTAACTATCGGATTATTATTTACAGAAAATCAATTTTTTTAAATTTACTGTTTTACTTTTAATATCTGTAATTAGAATTAAGTATTTAACATTTAATATTCCAGTTCAAGTTTGCAATCATTTCCTGTAATGAACAATCTAAGCGACAAATTCTAGAAACAAGATAATATTAAACCGTACATAGAACTTTACTGAAGTAATATCCATTTTCGCCTCAGCTTAAAGGGATCGGTGTCTGTGCAAATAGATTTTACTGATAATAATTTTACACGCATACGAGCAAGTCCTTTAGGGAATATGAAGAGTGTATAATACTGTCGAGGTATTTTATTCAAAAATTGAAAATATTACTGAATAAAATTTGATATCGTACATTTTGGCTAAAGTATATTAATATTTAATAAAAAAATTACACTTTGTGCAACTCCTGAAAGATTATTTCGATTCAAAAAGTACATATTATTCAGTCAATAGAGAAAATATTTCAGATACATCAGCTGTAAATTGGAAAATAAAAAACCTATGATACAGATTCGTGGGGTAAATAATGGAATTCGACCATTTATTTTATAAACAGTTAATATATTGATCAGATTATAATTCAATCATGCGGTCATGTAAAAATACCATTATTGGAGATGACCAACTAATAAAGCGAAGTTAATTAGCAATAATTTGAATTAAATTCAGAAATTATCACATGCTAGTTTTTCAGCTGTGGTAAATTACATTGTCTTATATCTCTGAAAGAATTCAATACGTTAAACATTTACTTTCCATGAAGTAAATTTTCTTTTAAGATTTTGCATTTTTGTTTTGTACGAAATTACAATTTTTTTTTTTGTTTAATAATACTTATTGCCTATCCTCTACCATTAGATCTAAATATAGATTTCAAATCAAAAGGTTGTAGATAAGAAGTATTCGTAGGAGGAAGGTAGACAACCAACTTTGCGAGTAGGTACCTATGAATGGAAATGCGTCTGATCGATATGAGCGATTAATGAGAGTTGGTGTTCAACTATCCTCCTAATTAATTAGGACTTCCCGATTCCCCTTCCTCCTGTAATTAGCATCCATTTCAATTAAATTCCGTATCGTTAAAGTTGTGCGGCACAATTATAGTCTTTAGAACAAATTTAAATGTAATATCTACTTGATGCTAAGAACATAAGTTATTACAGTTTTTGTATTACAAAATACCTATATGTTTTTTATACAAAATAACGAAATAAAGGGGTATAAATATTCCAACATTCTGAATTGAAAATAAATGGTTTTCACGGACCCTGCCCTTGTTGTTCTCGGGCTAGGCTCTGTAGGGGCGACCCCGCCATAAGAGCCTCTAGGCCCGTCTTGATGTTTATTTCGGTTCTTATTAGGTGTAAGGCCGATACGAACGGAACTGTTTCTCAGGCAATGGTGATCATTTGCCTTTCCGTAGTGACTTCTCTAACTGCTCGCATCCAATGTTTTCAAACGTTTCGCTATACGTTTCTGTCGACATCTTTAGTGGTGTGACTGCAAAAGTTTAGCCGCAACTAAGTCTTTGGAGCCGAAACTTTTACAGAGTCGGCAGAAAAGGCGATACGTTGGATGCGACCAGTTGCAGATGACACTACGGAACGTCTCAGAGGATCACCATTGTCTGAGAGCAACCTTATAACCAATAATAATAAGAACCGAAATCAACGTCAGGGCAGGCCTAAGGGTTCTGACAGCGGGTCTGCCGTCACAGAACCTATCCCAAGAACAACAAGGGCAGGTCAGGATTCCTTGTTGATGCTAAGACAGTGCAATATAAGTCTGTAATTGGCGGCGACGAGGTACATGGGCTAAAACATAACAACCCGAAAAACCAGCATACTTTAAATGGAAGTAAAGATATACTTGAATATCACCTATTTTTTTTTCAGATGTTGCTGCGGCCGGACTTTGGAACAACATAAATACGTCACTGACAACAACCCGCCGCAATCAGGGGAAATATGGTTTCCGAGCAAGTGCACAGTGGCGTACCCCACGGACGCCTATGGAATTTTGGAATTCCAAGGCGGTCCACATCCATCAAAAGCACAGGTATTTGTTTTCTTAGTGACAGTACCTCAATATTGTTGTGCAAAAATGTCGACGAAGAAAAATTTAGTCAGCATATAAATCATTAGTAAAAAAAACAATTGTCCTCGTTATAACTTTTCCATCGAAACTTGACGTCTTTAAAGTATTTCTAAAATGATGTTTCTTCCCAAAGGAACACTTTTGCAGGATTTTATCTCCAGTCTTTTTTACTTTAATTGCAACTTATAAAAAGTCTGAACCTTTAATTGGAGCTTCGATGAGCTCCACGTTCTTCCAAATAAACAGCATTATTTATGAAAAAGACGTTGTCACGATAAAAATCACGTTTCGTTTGAATATAATTTATTTGTTAAAAAATATATATTTTGAATAACAAGATAAAAGTATATACGATATAATGATATAGAACCGAACAAGTTTTAAAGCAAATAATAAATGAAAATCACTTTCATTGAAAAGAAGCAACAGAAGGTCTAGGTAGGTTAATAAACTTGATTTGAAATCATTAAAATAATATTAAATGTGATAAAATGAATCCAACTTGATCAAAACAGTGGTTACATTGTTTTAAGAATTCTATGTACACCTTACTGTAAATAATTATTTATTTAAATGTGTAACGTAAATTTTTATTCACTAATAGGAATTTCCCTAAGAGAGACAAAAAAGACATTGCATTGTTATTTATTGAAGAGATGTCCCATTTATATCTCAGAAATTATTAGATAGATAAAAAATATTTCAAATAAAAGATGCAATATTCGTGAAAAGTCAAGTAAGATAAATTATTTTCAAAAAACTCACGGACCTTAAGGACAGCTTTGTTTTTTCAATCGCCAATATGTTTTTTACTTCGAGTTAGTATTATTTTTATTATTTCAAACATCTTTTGTTTAAAACCTTTTTTTCAATTGTTGCGGGTAATTTTGAAACAGTATTTTGGAATCTGCTTATTATTTATGACCTGCATTTCTTTTACATGCTATAGCATTGTTGACTATAACGTATAGAGAAACTGCGTCCATATAACTACAATTTGTGTCATTACCAATAAATTGTGTTTAAAATGTTTGTATTTAACTTTTCTGCAACTTTGAAAAATATGTTCATTTTCTCTTGTACTATTTTAAATAATTATTTAATTAATAATAATTAAATTCTAGTTTTCTCCACCAGTACTGCTGAAAACTTTTAAAATACATTTGTAAATTTTATTGTTTATACTTATTATTTGATACATCAGCAGTTACTTTATAATCTTCATCCTCAGAGATTCAGGGAAGGTACGATGTTTCTGAGGGGAAGACAAAAGAGAAACTTTGTACGTTTTCAAATTTTCTAGAAGTTGTATAGGGGTACAAAAAAAATATACTACAAATTATTACACATATAAATCGGTTTATGAATGATTACATTATTTACAACTGTAAAAGCAATACATATAGACATAGGAAGAAAATAGGCTAATCTTTAAGTAAAACACACATATTATTCAAGTGCAGTAGACAACAGAATTTGGAAAACATTTTCTAAGCTTCTTATGTCTTTAAATAAGAAACGTTTATGCCATATTTGATATCTTTCAGTTTTTCAAACAGATCCATGTATTATAATTTGTTTTTTACATTTATTCACAGCCAGGATGATTACCAGGAACAACTGAATTAAAGCTAACTAATCTAATATAATAAAGGAAGATAAGCCACAACGCATACCAAGGTCAAATTTCTATCAATATTTCTTTTAATTTTTTAATGAAAACACAAAATAGCGGTAAAATATGTATTCACAAAAATTAATGGATAAGGAAAAATCCTAAACTTTTAGGTGATTTTCAAAAGACTGTAACATTACGAAAAATGGTCGTAGAGCAATAAAGAAAATCAAATTGAAGCTTCAAGTTTCTAGTTTCAAAATCTAAAAGTGAAAAGTTTTATAATTGTTCACCTTTAAGGAATCTTCTCTTTCAAAAGGTCGACGGGATTCATAATTTTTTTTTTTTAGTAATACCACCTGTTAATACTTTCAGTTTGATTCATCCTCTTTGAACTGTTCAAGAACTTTGGATGATGATTTTTCGCTGTTAGTATCGTTTTTTGATAAAAAAATGTTCCTATGCAAGAATGTTAATTAAAAAAGAGGTAAAAAATTGCGTAATTAAGGATTGAGATAACTTTAACTTTTTTAACTTCAAAGTATCCCAAAGAAGCTCTCAAGTACTTCAAACCGCTGTGATTTTTCTTTCATTGTGATCTGAATGGTAAAAATCAATTATAAATTGTGCAACTTTTATTCATTTTTTGAAATTGGAAATGTTTTTTCGCAAAAATCCATATTTTTTCATCAAAAAATATCGAAAAAAATAAATAAAAATGAGAAAAATAAATTTCCTGCATTCAATTTTTTTTTTCGTTTATTTTTGTTTTCGCCTAAAAGAGAATTTTTTATCTTTTAAATTGTGCATCTTTTATTCACTTTTTGAAATTGAAAATGTCTTTTCGCAAAAATCCATATTTTTTCATCAAAAAATATCCAAAAAAAAAAGAAATAAATAAAAATGAAAAAAAAAATTCTTTCATTCAATTTTTTTTCATTTTTTCTTCGTTGATTTCTTTTCGCCTAAAAATGGAGAATTTTTTATCTTTTAATTTTTGTTACTAGTTTATAATACTATAATCATAGAGGTAAGTGAAAATCAATAATAATAATAATCAATACTATTAAAATTTACTGCAATAAAAAGTAATATGTTTTTTTGTAGAATTATATAAAAATACGTTTTATACAACCAGCCCGAAAATCATCGTGATATTACATCCTGTATAAATAGTTTATTTTACATCATTTGTCTCAATAGTTTTAATGAAACTTTCTCGCATTCTAACAAAAAAAACCAGCGATTATTTAGGGTCTTATTCATTCTTTATTAACTTGTACAATTTGCAACTAATTGAACCTTGGAAGGGTATCATGAATGATTGATGTCTTAATTAAAGAAATCAATTTCCCCAGTAAATGGTAATACCTCTCCGACATGGCGAAGGATACGTTTCTCTGAATATTAAAAATTAATTAGTCGCTATATCTTTCCTCTCAATTCCCACGCAGCTTCTGCTGCCGACGCCAACGCAAGATTATTTTTCTGTAAATCTAGTCATTCAAGGCGCCCGCATCTTCGTCAGAATAAAAAAGTCAAAGGTGGCATCCGCAACCATAAAGTGTTGTTTCCGTTTCGTCTTACTCGAGCCTGTGGCGTCTCTATAGGGATGTAGAAAAAGGATTCAGTATTGCGAAAAATAAATTGTCACGAAAAAAATCTACTAAGTAATATTTTCACAAAATAATTGAAGTATAAATATCATATGTTTAAATATTGAACGAAATTTTGACAAAACCTGTGGTTGGACGTATTTGTGATAAAAATTTACTACAACTGTATCGATTTAAGCGTTAATTTTTTACTATAACTATACAGACACTTTGAATTCAGAAGTTAGATAGATAATTATATATTCATTGGTCACATTGTATTAAAGAAACTTTTCTGTATAAAAAAAATAGATAATTATTTAACACCTGCAAAATCGAATCTTATGTCTCTTTCAGTTATAAAGAAACGCTTTATGCTGTTGACCTCACAATCAGACACAAAATGATATGTAAGTGTGATGGAATAAATTTAATTCATTATAAACATTTATTTACCCTTATTAAATTTCGGCTATTGTACCATCATCAGGGAAAAAGAAAAATGAAAAAGTTAATATTTTCTTTTTTATTAAAATATTATGTCCAATGTCAGTTATCTCTCTCTCTTCCTCCTCCCTCTCCCCTCTCTCCCCCCTCCATCTCCCCCCTCTCCCTCTCTCCCTCCTATCTCTCCCCTCCCCCCTCTCTCCCACCTCCCACATCTCTCTCCCTCCCTCACAACCGGTGAAGCAGACAGTTGTGTTTTAATGTAATCTTGATCTCATTGTTTTAATAATTTTTAATTTTCCCGAATTTAATTTGTAACGTATTTATGTTTTTGAATTACTGTGTCAATTTTATTACACTTAGACAGATAATTATTAAAAATTTTGTCAATAATTCTTTACTGATTGTCAATTTTAAATTTTCCGTAATAACTACAGCTAAAATATAATTTTAATATAATAAAATAAACAAGTATAATCTGATACAAACTTTATTTTAAAAATCGTCCATATTAAAATCATATACCTATTTAATAATATAATTTGATAAATTCTAATACTACTTATAGCTTCAGTGTTGTAGTAAAGCAAACAGTATTTTCTTCAATTTCAAATATTTATAGTAGGCATTTCCCGACATCATGTAATATTTTATTAAAGCAAGGAAAATAACATTTTCTCAATATCAACTGACTTTACTTCATTCCTTGTTTTCGTGTTTACCAGGTTTGTTTTCAAGAATTTGAACGAAACGAACGAAAACAATAATACAGTTAGCTACAAAGTAAAAGTAGATGTGACTGTAATAAAAATTTTATTAGTAGAGTAATAGTGAGAATGGGGGGGGGTCGTAAAACTTTTAATGACTTGTAAAACGAATAGATAGTAATAGGAACTGGAAATTGTAGTAAAATGTAAATGAAACTGTTATAATCGGCCACATATGTTATGAACTGTTAACCAGCGCAACTTTTGATTTTTTTATACCTTAACAGATAGCGATATGATGACAGTTTTAACATTAAAGTTCTTCTAGTTTCTGAGTAAGAAAATTTGTATACGGGGTATTTATAGATTTGGAGAGGATATTTGGAGAGTAAATATATCGTGGATTTTTTGCAAATAGAATATTTTGTCCAACAGTTGCTGTTTTGTAGGTGTTTTACATGATGATTTTTAGTGACCAAAACCGAAATTGAATCCGTAGTGACAATTTCTTTTTACTAGTGAAATAAAATAAATAAAACAACTTTAAACAATTACAAATATTTATATTAAAGTGACAAACCGCATTGTGAAATTGGA